TTTTTTTCTTTTATATTTTTTTTTGTTTGGGGTGGGGGGTGAGTGTTGGAGTTTTTTCACAATTTCAGCCCACACTAGAGAATACTCAGTGGAATAAATCATAAATACATATCAAATTATATAGTTTGCACCTCTGCAAAAGATGAAAATGCCAAAATAAAGGGCACAGCAGAGAATTCAAATGGTTGCCTTGCTTCTCTGGGGATGCAATGTGCTCGCTTGCAGCAGGGAAGAGCAGCTCACACTGAAGCCTGAGCAGTGCCCAGACCTTCTGCAGGCTTCGCAAACAGGAACATTTTTCATCTCAACTGTTTCCCAGCCCTCAAAATCCCTAAGGGCAAAAGCTCAGGGGACGTTGGTTCAACTGAGCTGCCATCCACAGCCGAGTTCCAGTGGATTTCAAAATCCCATTTGCAAACTGTGGTAAGGAAAGTGTAAAAATTGGTAGCAACGAGAACCACAGTTCTGAAGCCTTTATAAATAGTTTCAACATGGTCCGTGCTCAAATCCAAGCTGCATTGTGCCCCCAGCCAGGTTTTCTTTTTTGGGTCATCAACCCACCTTCATGTCCTGTCTCCCCTCCCATCTCTTGCCTGCAGTCCACAGGCAAAGTGACCACCCAGTTTCCAAGCTGTATTGTGTTGGTAGGAGCAGGCATTAACAGAAGACAGTTGGAGAAAAACACCAGGAAAAAAAATCCATGAATCTCCATTAACTTTACTGGGAGCATACTGATTTTATCATGGGGTAAAAATTGATCAGGACATGATGTATAAAAGCACTTAATGAAACACTGAACTTGGCAATGCCAGCACTTACTTGACTGCGCTTCTATATTCTCTCTGGAAGTGCAATAATAAGCAAGAGTTAGAAAAATGATTCAGCAGAGCTGATCTTATTCATAAGCTTTGCTTATCTGCTATCCTGTAAAGCAGGAGATAGAGTTCAAAGTGGCATTAACTTTATGTCAGAGTGACCTTCCAACAGACATTTTTAAGTACTGCATATCTGTGTGGGGTCTTCGAAGCATATGAGATTTTACCTGGCCCACACACCAATGAACATTTATTTTACAAGCACAATCCTCAATATCCTCTTCCAATAAGCTGCTCACGATATTAGAGCTTGAAGATGTTCTGGCATATAAAAAATGATAGTAGGAAAACCTGTTTCTAGTTCTTAGAATGAAGTCCTTATTTTTTTGGTATATAAGTGGTATCCTGTTTAACTCCTTTAATAATGACAGTACTTCATACACTCAGCAAGCTAAAGCATTTCATTCACAGTAAAATAAGAAAAGAAATGTCTCCTTCCTTTTTATTTAAAGACACAACAGCAAGAAATTAAAAGTAGATTTAAACCTTTGTGGCTTTAGAAAATTTCCAGTTTAGTCCGGCACAGGTAAATTTACAGTCCCAGAATTTTGTTACTATATTTGCTGTGAAATTCCATGGCAATGACAAATTCTAAGCCTCAGGAATAATCGTGCATATTGGTTTAGAGAATTTTATATACTGAATAAATAAAGGTATTGCACCATAATGCCAAATGTGAAGAGGAGAATAAAAAAAGCTAAGAAAACAGATAAACAACTCACATGCATATGCATACCTGGGCTTACACCTTTTTCATCATCATGATCCCAGCTACTTTTTGTAAGGGGGAACACACCCACAATGTTTCTTTTCTGATTGACAATGTAAAAAACAGATATATCCCCTCTTACTTGTTTTCTGTGATATTTTCCACCCCATTTGATGTCTTTAATCCTCTGGAGGTGGTCTGTTGAAAGGACAATAAACAATGTTGGGTTTGTTACACAAAAAATATTCCATAAACAAGCTTTCATGACCTGTTTGCTGCCTTAAATGAGTATCAAAAGGCATTTATTCAATAACTCCAGTACAATTAGTACAGGTATTTGAAGAGATTTCTGCTTCCTTCTACTCTCTTCAGTCTCCAGCAGGAAATCTCTTACTTCCCCATCAGAGGAAGCCCTTGGTGTTTGCTGTTCTTCCCTTTCAGGCAGTGAAAAACACTGTGCTTACATATACCCATGGTGGTAATTTTTGCAATTATATCCCAAATTCTGGGATATTCAATATTTCTCTACAGTCTCAGAATTGACCTTAAGAAACAAAATAGAGGAAGAAAGTGTGTAGATCTCTGCTTGCAGAGAACAGTACCAAAATGTGACCCCAATGGAAGTGGAGTAAAAACTCCCATCACCTAAAGAAAGAAATCTTCAGCATTTAAAAAAACTTTATGATTTATGAATACAAGCTTCTATTTTAAAGCATTTAGAAACAGTAACAGCAGAATTTCTTCATTTTCTTGTTTACAGAGATCAGCAGCTGCTTTCCGTTTGGACCCTTCCCATGTTTGGCTGAGGAAGAAAAACAGCATAGTGCTTTTCCCCTTTTAAAGACAGACTATCTGAATTGAAAATTCAATCTAATCCACCAAACTCAGAAATTGAAAGGTGTGGTTCACAGAAAATACAAGTATCTCTTTCATAGCTGCACAGACATTTCTCCTAATTCTAAGCAGGTTAGCCTTGTGAAAGGACTCTAGGATCTACTGTAACAAATAGTAAAACTAAGAATACCTCAATGGTGATTGTCTCCACTTGAACATTTGGAGGCAGAGCCAGGGTGGGCTCGAAGTGCTTTGCTATTGCAACCAGAAGATGCAGTGTGCTCAGTAAGTCCTTTGCCAAGATAGCTATTGAGTGTAAGGGAAGAATACAATGGTCAGTGTGGAAAACATGGGAGGGCCATTACACGGGGGGGTACACCGGATTGGGGTTTATATAATATGAAAATCTAGCAATAGCACAGCTTAAAAGTGAGACATACAGGGATGCTGAGGGTTCTTAAGTGAGCCACAAGCCACACACTTAGAGAAGACAGAGCCGGGCGGGGTCAGATATGTCTGTCTCACTTTTGATTCAACTAGTAATTGAAAACAGGTTTTTTAATTACTGTTCTGGCAGCACACTGCCTCCACAGCAGCCTTATAGCTCAGCCTGTGATGGATAATTTTTGCCAATTTCACTTCTGCACCTACATTCCACACTCCATTTCAGCTGACTTTCTTCCAGTTGCAAACACTTGGCCAGAGCTTCCAGAATCACAGAGAGTTTCTGTCGCTGTTTTTTTTCTGTTAATGCAATCTTGTCAATATCCAGCTTGAGAGAGCCTAAGTTTTCTTTTACAGAGGGTCCATAGGAAGAAGGATGTATTTTAACACCATTGTAGGGAAAAAGAAAATAATTAGAAACATAAAATGACAGTGAAGTACACAAAGTCTTGTTTTAAATGTTCAATATCATTTCAGAGCTCTGCAAAAGGGAGAGGCACTCCTTGCAGCATCATCCTTCAGCCCTAGCTCTTTACATTCCTTCAACAGAAATCCAAGGAGTGCATCTTTCCTGTCGATAATGTACAAAGTCAATATCAACTCATATATAGAAGAAATATGAGGTCATTGCTCAGGCAAGTAAACCATGAAAATCAGCCAGTCCTGCTCGTGCTGCTGCTCTCAGCCTTGGTGGAAAGGAGATAGATTTAAAAGACATCCCCAAAGAGAGTGATAAGGGAAAGACAAATGTAGTAGGGACAGGAGAGATGGAGAAATAGATTACAGGCTGCTTCAGGAGGTCACATCTTTATACAAGCACCAGATAGATCCAAAAGCCTCTTAAGATTTTTACCAGTTCCAGTACCAGAACAGTTCTTTGGACCAAGAGCTTTTAATTTTTTTTTTTTTTTAAAGACAGGGCAATATATATTACAGTGCTGATTCCCTCCAGTATTTCTGGTAGCACCACAAGCCACCTTTGTGTTCTAGTTTATGAAGCCCTCATTCATTTCAGAAGCACTAAATTTCACACGTCATTGTCAACCTTTTTATTATGTCAACTAGCAGCTAATAAGAATTCCTTAGAAGTAAAATAACCAGGTAAAACAATAGTGAGAATTTGTTCAGAATTGTGATTATCACAGCTGGCCCCCAGTGCAGTGAGAAGTGAGGGCAGGTCCCTGCTACTGCGATTCCTGAGGTTTATTCTCTGATTGGAAAGTTCCTCCATAAGATGTCTGCAACAACTAAACTCAAAGGAGCTGCTCACCCAGGAGATGATGAAGCACCAGCCCATCATACAGGTCTTCCTCCAGCCTTTTAACTACTATGTGTTCCTCTTTCAGAGTTCTGTTGATCCACTCAGTCAAGAACTGTGGGGAAGGGTGGAAACAAAGCAATTATATTCGTGTTGTTTAGACAATACAGCACTCAGTGCTGCATTCTGTTTCACTTCTCTCTTCAGGCCCTTATCTCAGATCTTGGTTTGCTTTCAATCTCCACTTCCTTTGTGCTTTTTGGTTGTTTTTTATAGGATAAGTTCTTCCTAATTTTCAAGTGAGATAGACATCTCACTACCTATATTCCGAGGAATTCTGCTATAGAGCTGGGAAGAGAGACTCTTCCCACTTCCACCAGGGAAAAGGCTGCACAGTACACTTCCCATCCCCCACCTTTATCAAACATCGCATAATTCACACAAATTCAACTGCTAGGCAGAAGTTTGTAAGAAAAGAGGCTAGGCTCATTCTGAGGGTAGTTTCTTGTACTCATCCATGCTACTAGCATTCCTCCCTCTCGTCTCCTGATTTTGTTTTCTTTTTCTTTCTGCAATATTGTACCACTCAGTCCCCAAACACCTCCTTGGAACTTTCATACATGGCAGTCCTCCCACTGGCCTTCCAATATCCTTCCTGCCTTTCCAAGGGGAAGCTGCTCAGGAGGCCAAGGTGTGGCTACAAAAGGAGAAGGACCATTTGTGCTCCTAGTCAGGAGAACAAAGCAGTTCCTCAGCACTTCTCCAAGCATGTGCTTTATTCACATGTGTTGAGAGAAAGGGAAGATGACCTGGTGAAGTAGAACAGAAAAGTAGTAGCCCCAGCTGGCTGCCAACCTGAACATCCCTCTTGTGAGAGGGAAGGGTATTGCTTCTATTGCTGTAATTGTTACGAGTGAGTGTCTGGAGTGGATAATATCCTTCTCACTTGCTGTAAACAGAGGAGAAAATTCATAGCAGATTCCTGTAAGCTCGCCAACATTAACAAAAATGTAAGAAGGGTTTGAAAAGAAAAGTCTCTGAGATGCTTGGAACTGCACAAGAAATAAAAAAGTCTGAACTGAGAAGCTGTCAAACATGTCCTCTGCTGAGAAGTAACAAGAGCAGAAAGCTCTGCTCTTTAGCTAATTCTTGGGTACACTTTGTATGTGCAAGGGGTAGAGCAGTACCCCAAACACAAGAGTACAGCCAGAGGGAAGTCAGAAAAGCAGCAAATACTGCTGAGCACAGACCTATAGCATCCCTCCTTTTCTCTCCCAGCTTGACAGCCACATGTACAGCCTGCAGCTCACACCGTTCTGCTTTCTGCCCAGCTATGGGGGCCCCGCTCAGCTGCAGAGCAGAGCCTCATGTCTAAAAATGAGTAAACAGGGAAAGGAGAAAAGGAATACTTTGAGAAGTTTGCTGTTGGCTTCCAAATTTAACGATCTTCTATTTTACATGCAACCAGATATTTATAGCAACTACAGGGAGCCATTTCGTATTTCTCAGTTCTCCAAAGCCACCACAAAATGAAAATGCAGTGAAACAGTCTCCCTCCCCCGTGAGTTTCTTCACTTCCCTTGTTCTTCCCTTGAAGATTCCTCCCTGTCCCTGTCTCCATTCCAAATATTTCTCTAGAGAAGCCATCAAATCTTTAGATAAAGAAGGCAGTCAAGGGGCACTGATGAGCACCTAGAGAACTCTGTCTCCCTCAGGACATAATTTCCATCTCCTCATCACCCAAAGAAAAGACACTAGACCGTGATGAACATCATCTCAGGAATCTCTGACAGGAAACGGATTAAGCACTGAAGCTCACAGAAATCTTCGTAACTGAGGAAAACTTCATTTTTGGCAACCTCAAAATAACAAATACGGTCTTTCTGTAGAAAACATAATTGCATTCTGCAGCATCACCTTTCAGAGTTTCCCCTTTGTATAACAACATCATGAAAGCCTGACACAAAATCAAATCTTTTGGATCAAATGTGCATGAATACCTAATAAAAAACCACACCCACCTACATGTTTATAAATGCTAGAAAATACAAACAACAGCACATATCTTAAGCTGCTTTTTATAATATTTATAACAATTTCAGCACCTCCATAATGCAAGGAGTGCTGGTCTCATAAGACACATGCCACTTTTCTTCCAGGAAGTTTCATTACGTGGACTGTGCCATTAGAGAAATTGAAAGAGTGACTGAACACACCGGGGAGACTTTCAAAATTAGATGGAAACAAAGTACTTGCCTGTGAATGAGATTCATCCTTCACAGTTACCTCAAACAGGCAGTGTACCATACAATGGCCTGAAAGCTTTCATTCCAAATTCCTGGTGACTTGCATACTCTTCATCCCATTCCCCCTCTGCTCTCTGCTAACCATTCCAGCTGAGCCAGCTGCTGGTGAAAGCTGCTGCAAATCAGTAGAGCAATCCTAAAAGTTACCATGGGATCAGTGCAGCAACCCTGCACCATATCTCTCTTTAGTCACAGCAAATGCTGGCATGGGTCTGCTTGTGGTCCAAGCCCAGTGTTCTGGCTGGATTCTCACAGCAGTTACTTTATCATCACAATGAAAGAGTAACTGGGTGCTTCTGGTGTGGCTCACCCACACAGGCCAGGTTTGGAGAGGCGTCACATCAGAAGCCACTCAGGTTTGTATCTGCACTCCACACCCAGCAGAGCTCACTTCATTAGAAGCTTGATCCTGTACGGCCCAGCCACCCTGATGCTGAGCAGAAACAAAAGCTCCGCTTCACTTGTATGGAGCCCAAATGCCAAAAGCAGAGCTCATTCCCATCTGTAGAGAGTGGGGCTCTCGGGTCAGAGAGCTGGGCAGTTTAATGAAAGAGGCTGAAAGAGGTTAGAACTAGGTTGTTTGCTTTAACTCAACTCGAGGTGAGGGTTAAACTACACAGTAAAAGAAGTGGTACCACTTTCAATTCTTCCAGTTTGCAGTTGTTGCTTGAGGTCGGTTTTATGAGTTTCCTCTTCTCGCCTATGAAAGGAAGCAAACAAGATCCATCACAATTATCAGATATTACTAAAACAAGTTTTGCAGCTAAATCTGCTATCAGTTTGATATTCCCAATATGGCTAATTTCCCTATGTAGAAACATTTATTTTTCATTTTTACTAATTCTGTATGAGCAAGAAACTGGTATAGCAGACTACTAAGCCTGCTGTTGGAAATTATGCTTCAGTGTACTTTAAATCAGTAAGATCTAGATGGACAATTCTAGAACGAGGAAAACACACTTGGTCAGATCCACATGAGTGAAACTCAAATTTCAGTTAAAGAATCAGTTGGACGTTGTGTTGCTTCTTCATAATCTGCCCCCAAAGAGTCATCAGCCAAATTACACACACAGAACTTATTCATTTCTGATATGGCCAAGGGATCACTGCTGAAAAATACAAAATTCATTTGTACAGAACATTTTCTGTTTGTCCCTGCAGGTGGTTCTTTGGCCTATTTTGTGTCCTGGTTCATAAAACACATACCTTTAGCGATAACATCCTCAGTCAGGAATCGATCAAGTGTAGAAGGCTGTGTAAATACATTTAAAAAGTCTGGATCCATTGTCTTTAATCACTCCTGGTAAAGTAGAAACATTTGGGGGAAGGGAACATGAGTAAAGGCACATAAAGATCAAAATTAGTGCTAAGAAAAAAAACAAACCAAAAGGTTTTTTTTATCAGTTATTATTTCACCACTATTTATTTAATTGTGTGCAAAGAAAAAAGTTTAAAACAATTTTCATTTTTTTCTGTTAATCATCAAAATGTAGGAAAAGAAGACCTGAAGACCTAAACTAAAACTTGCTTAAATTACATCTAATTATAGTCCCTGTAATAGATAAGTAAAATCCTATTTCAGCTGAAGTGAAAAAGAAGCTTTCAGTCCCTAGGTATTGTTGGATATGTGCTAGAAAACATAAAAATTACCAATACTTAAGGAGTATTAAAACAAGAACCCAATAGTTAAATTACTGCGACAAGTTAGTAAATATAAGCAGCTTCCTTTATTAGACCAGCTGGTACAGCTGTGGGGAAACAAGGACAGCTATTGGCATCTGAACAGTTTCTTTTACAAATTCTAGTACAGAGTCATGAAATAATTTCTATTGGAAGAGAACTCTGGGATCATTGGGTCTCAACTGTTCACCCACCACTAAACCATGTTCCCAAGTGCCACATGTGCACTGTTTTCAAATCGCTCTAGGGATAGTGACTGCAACACTTTCCTGAGTAGCTCCTTCTAGTGCTTGAGTGCCCTTTTAGTGCAAAGCTTTTCCTTCATGCCCAGTCTGAACCTCCCCTGGCATGACTTGAGGCCGTTTCCTCTTGTCCTGACTCTCATTCCCTGGGAGCAGAGCCCGACCCCAGCTGTCCCCTCCTGTCAGGGAGTTGTGCAGAGCCAGAAGGTTCTCCCTGAGCCTCCTCTTCTCCAGGCTGAGCCCCTTTCCCAGCTCCCTCAGCCCCTCCTGGTGCTCCAAACCCTTCCCCAGCTCCATTCTCTTCTCTGGACACGCTCCAGCCCCTCAATGTCCATCTTGTCCTGAGGTTCCCAAGCTGCCCCAGGATCTGAGGTGTGGCCCCAGCAGTGCCCAGCACAGGGACAGTCACTGCCCTGGCCCTGCTGCCACACCACGGCTGGCACAGCCCAGGTGCCTTTGGCCTCTTGCCCTGCTGGGCTCCTGTCCAGCCGCTGTCCCCAGCACCCCCAGGGCCTTTCCCAGCTTTCCAGCCCCTCTGCCCCAGCCTGAAGCTGCAGGGGTTGGTGTGAGCCAAGGGCAGCACCCAGGACCTGGCTTTGTTGACCCTCAGACCACTGGCCTGGGCCCATGGATCCAGCCTGTCCAGATCCCCCTGCAGAGCCTTCCTGCCCCCAGCAGATCTGCACTCCCACCTAGCTGGGTGTCATCTGAGAAATGGCTGAGGGAGCACTCAATTCCCTTGTTCTGATCAAAGATAAAGATATTAAACAGGACTGGCCCCAGTGCTGAGCTCTGGGGACTCCACTTGTGACTGGTCAACATCTGGATTTGACTCCATTCCGCACCACTTGTGTCCAGACGCACAAGAAGCAAGATGGTGCTTCATAAATGAAATGCACATTGATTTAAGTGCCAGAAACCAGAATCACAAACTGCAACTGTGCTGTGGCCTGAAGAGGTGAAAGAAATTACAGGAGGATGAGGGCTCTGGACACTTATAGCAGGCTATGGTTCTAGTATGAGTAAGAGAACTCATCCTTCTCAAAAGTCCAAAAATCTCTGGAAGTCCAAGCAGAGAAGATGTGATGACCAGGAAGACTTTTACTGCTGGACCACTATGGGAGAAGGGATGCTGACTAGTTTGTGGTTCTTTTAAAGTACAAAAGAAAACAATATGTTCCATATTAGAGAGTCCCACAGGAGGGTTTTCCCACTCTCTACCCAGGGTGCCCACATTGGGAGCCCTTTCTCCTAACTCTTGCTGTCAAATGAGTGAGAACGGCACTTTTAAAGAGCAATCCAGAGGATTTAAATGAGTGGCTAATCCTGGTTTTAGGAATAGAGTTCCATCCACTCTATTACGAGAGACAGCCCTGGTTGCTGCTGCAGGTGCCTGAAGTGAGATGCTCCCTCTCACTTCAGATGACCCAGAGCAAGGCATCTGCTGAAAATGCTGTGGCACAAAACATCTCCAAAGTGGCATTCCTTTGCCTGCTAGTTTTATACACCAAACAACACAGTGCTGCTCTGAAGGCTTTCACATATTTCTTACAGGCTCCAGTCAAAGCATGTTACAAACGTGTATTTTAACACAGATTTTGCCAAAGCTGAGAATACTGGTAGAAAATAACAATTGGGTGCTTTTGCACATCAATCTGGTAAAACAAATTGGTACAAAATTGCTAGCAAGGCACTAAGAGAAAAGGTCACAAGATAATTTTTTTCATTATCGTGGCGGCAAAACTGAATGCTGTCTCTAAAAAGGTGCTTGATAAAAACAGATGGGAGAAATTGAGTGATGTAGTGCCTGAGGAACAACTGAACTAAGACTGCCCAGTTGAAATGAACTGAGAGAAGTTAATTAACAGAGAGCAACCCGAGGACAACTTACTTTTCAATTAGGTTTCTGGCAGCTGTGATGCCTTGGGGAAGTCCAGCTCATAACAGAAATGGTCTGTGTAAACTACAACTTACTCTCACCCAGTTTTGCAATATTCAAGTTCTGTATCTCTTAATTCCTTCAACTATCAAAGTGGTGTGTGCTGCCTGCCACACCTTCAGGCTCTTTTTGGCCAAGGAACCCGAACATCAGAAGCCACTCTAAAATTTGGAAACCTGTAAGGAAAGGCCTGAAATTGCAGAATTAATGTATAGGAATACCCTCTAGGGCCTCAGTCCTGTGTGTTACTCAGTTAAAACTTCTGCACTGGGTAATATTAATTTGCCTAGTATCCAGTCCCTTTGGGAAAAAAAGCCAGAGCTATAAGCAGTGCAAGGATACATAGACACTTCCCCAAAACATTTTTAACAGTCTGCAGTTCAGCCTTCCTAAAGCAAAGCTGGGGGCCTGGTCACTAGAAGTTGTCAACACATTTATTCCCATGAACTCCCCACTCACCCCTTGAACATGTGTCTGTCTCAGCACTCAGCATTGAGGAGGTGGAGTGTGGCCCTACATCATGTGAAGTTCCATCTCCTGTTTCTTGCTCTGACCCACCAGCTTCCCCTGAAGGCACCATGCAAAGATCAACTGATCCACATTTTTCACACCCCTGTGTTAATGCTCTATGGTCTCCTGCCCTACTACTCCAAACCCTCCATGTCCATCTCTTTCCAAAACCAAGAAGACAGCCCACAGTTACCCTTCCCTGGAAAACCAGCTGGTCAGCCTCAGTGCTTTTTTCTGAGCTTCCTCCAGCATGATCACAGCCTTTTGGAAGTGCTAGGAACTGGACCTGCCCAGATTTAGAAAGGTGCACTGCAGCATTCACAGTGGTCTCTGCCCCTCTCCTCCTGAGTCCTGTTTCCTTTTTCATCATTGTTGACCCTTTATTGGGAATTATCTATTAGATCTCCAAAATCTTATTCCTACATAGCAACACACCATTAAGAGCCCATCATTTATTGTATTTCAGCTCACATTTATCAATATTGATTTCCCACAGGCATTTCCCAGAGGCTCCCACAGAGGCTGACAACTGCAGTTCTTCAGCATTTAATAGACTCATTGTTTATTACTCATAATTAGCACTCACAGGCAGTCTTTCATGTGGCAGTGCAGCATATTGGTGGAGTTTGGTCCCAGGCAACAGCCTTTCAGAGAGTAACATACTACAGGAACATAAAATGGAACATTTTATGTTGGGTTGGGGACAAGTCTTTGGGTGAGCTGTTTAAACAGGAAAGGTCAGAAGAGCTGGTTCTCACACACAAAATTCCGTATTTGCTGCAACCAGCCCCTGCAGCCCATCAGTTATATTTGCTACTTAGAGCTGTGGTTGACATCCTGTTTTTTCCAGGCCCCATCCTCCTGCACAAGTTTTTTATCAGTAGTTGGAGTAGATTGTAAGAGACAACTGCTTAAATACTGACTGTACAGGCATTTCATTCCGGCATCTTTAAATAAAATAGATGCTTAATTATGGGCTATTCAAAGGAAATAGCATTCTCTGAATGAAATGCTCATTCTCTGAGAATGCCGTGGATATACAGGCTTTGCTTCAAAGCTAAGGGGTGTTTGATTTCTTGTGTGCTGCCTGCAGGGGCTGCCAAGAAGCAAATTGTTCTTAGGTCAGGAGCTAGGCTATTGCACAAACTCGCAATGTCACAACTACTGATAAACAACTAATTCTCAAGTTGGGTCAGAGCAGCTCACTTTTCCTCCATGAGTCTTCACAGGGTCTGGCTCCCAGATGTCCCCAAGGCACCACACAAAGCACTAATGGGGGTCTCTGGCTTACAAATCAGCTGTAGAATATTCACAAGGCACTTTCCAGTGCTACCAAACTGTTTCATCCGTTTCATTTCCTGCTTGAAAAGATGAAAGCCCTACTCTAGGTCAAACACATTTCCTAAGTAGATCACACAAAGGAAGGGTAAAAAAAACCCAAATGGGAATGTTAATAGTAGTATTTCCACCTTTGGGAAACCAGAATTAAAAAATAAGTAAGGATTAATAAGAGAATGCACATTGTGCGCGCAGTTTAAAACTTATTTTCACTTCCCTGTGTAGTGCTGGACCTTTCAGGAGCCATCTTTGCTCATGAGCATCAGAAGAGATGTTATCTTAGTAAGAACAATCCTCACAGACACAGAAAATCTTCCAGTTAAGAACACTAATTATGAAAAAAAGCACCCAAAGAACTTCCATTTTCCAAACTTACTACTCTCTCCTTCAGTAACTCTCCAGAACTCTTCCAAGACCTTGTCCCAGCAGTCAGAATGCAGTTTCTGGGGCCGAGGGCTGAGTCCAGGCTCAGAGGTCTCCCACACAGGGCAGCACAAGGCACACAAGGGGAAGTTGTGCCGTAGTGCTCTGCTCTTAAAAACGAAACTATGGTCCCATCCGGAACTTAATTGTCTGTGTGCTGGTCTCTGCTGCAGAGACTGAAATAAACAGGAATACAGGAACAGGAAACATGCAGCCCTGCAACTCCTGAAACACCATAAAATATTAAGATATGATCGTTCGTGGATGGCACTGCCCAGCACGACAGGGCTACTCTGCCTCTAGGGCAACTCAAGAGCACTTGTGGTTTGTATATGATAAAAAAACTAGCCAAAAGCAGACAAGATCATGTTCAAATACACCTTTTCCTCATGCTCCTTCAAGTATTTTATAAAGCAGATCAGGACCACTCTACCTACCTGGCAGAAGGAGAAACCTAGAAAATTAATTAATTTGTCCTTAGAGAGGAAGTTAGCCACACCAGGGCCCTCATGTGAGACAAGAGTTATCCCCAGCAGGCAATGCTGCTGCTCTTCCTCCGCTTTTACATCACTGATTAAAGAGACAGAGCTTCCTACAGAAACCACCTTCCCTGGACATTTCTTCCAGGTATGAATTGCATTTATTAACACACCTTTTTTTCCTCCAAAACCTGATATAGTGACCAGTGCATGGAGTATCCAGACTTTTGCAGAACAGCAGAAGCCAATCCTGTATGAGTTGCATTTGATTTCATGCCTATGATGCCTAAAGATTTTTACTTTATATATATTTTTCATGTATTTGTAGCTTTGCACTGTTAAATGCAAATTAATGTTAAATACATGGTTATACATGGTTATATATTTTTCCTACCCCTTTCTCTTAGATTTTAGAGTACTAAGCAAACCCTTTTAACATTCCTGAAATTCTGTTGAGTTGAGTCTCATTTTCAAGAAGAGAGCCTCTAACAAAGACATTTTGTTTTGCAACCAGAATCTGAGAAAACATCACAAGAAAACAGGGCAAAGAAGCCCCTGGACCACCTCCAAGGGGCTGACCCAGGGCAGGTGTTTCTGAAAGTCCTCAAAGCACATCACATCATGCACACACCCCCACCATGAACACCTGGCCCCCATGTGAAAATAGCCACTGAGGAACAACTCAAGGATTCAACAGCAATAACAAGTTCTGACAATGCATTTTCCCACTTTTCCACATGGCCCTGGCTGTATTGGAGAGCCATGCTACACTCTGCACACCAGAGCAAAGGGAAGCTCACCATTCATAAGTTCTTCCCACAGATTTTTCCGCTGAGGAAAAAAAAAAGTAGAAAACATAGTGATCATTATTTTTTTATTTGAATAAATAGTACAATTGTCAAAAACCATGCATAAACATTTGTGCTGTGAATTTTAGCAAACATAGCATTGCATTGTAACTTGCTTACAGTACACATCTCTTATCACTAAGATGGATGTCTCCAATGTATGACAAGCCCAGAACTTTATCTGTAAGGCTAGTTTTTAGTAGTTAGAAATCCAGAGTAAATGCTGTTAAAAACAGTAAAAAAGGCTCTTAAAAAATACATTAATACTGAAAGCACTGGGGTGTGGGGAAGAGGAGGAAGAAATTCTGTAAGGTTTAAATTGATTTAAAAAATCTGCTACTGTCGGGTTTTCATCTTGAGAAACAGAATGCAGCTGAGGACTATCTGAGCTGCTTCTGTGGTAATACAGCTCACTAACTGAGTGTGTCAAGTAAACGCACCTGAAAGTCAAGTTGTATGGACTGGAAAAGACAGACATTCATTAAATACTTAAAAATGCAGGAGCTTTAATTCTGTAGAGCATTCAGCATTCCAGACGAACTCAACATGATTCAGACTAGTATCCATTTGTAAAACCCCAGTAACACAAAGATATCATGAATCACATTTTTAACACTGACTCAACTTTCTGAGAGGCAAAGAATTTTGGTACATGTGTCACAGAAAGGTATGACAAAAGCAGGCATTTAGAAAAGCTTTACCTACATGGCTCAGCCTGGAAACTGGGCTGTCTGGGATGAAGCCACACTTCAGTGCAATCTACCCTGCTCACAAATCTAGTTAACAATAAATACAGTGTCTACAGATCAGTGAGCTGGCCAGACAGCCAGGAGCCAAGGAATGAAAAAAGTATCTTCCCTGTGCAACATCTACCAACAAACAAGGCCACAATAGAACAGGCTGTGACACCTGATCTAGGGAGCAGTCCTGGCTGATAGGGATATTAACAGAAGGACTGCTAAAGGAGACCCATGGTTGTAGCCAAGGGGACCAGAAACACATAATTCAACAAAACAGACACTCTGTTACAACCTGTTATAACCTGCTCACCTCTGCTCACATGCCCAGCTCAAAAACAGACATTCCCCTTTCTAAAGCCAAATCACTCTCACCCATCTCTTCTAACTTCTGTTTGCTTTTGTTATTAATACTGCTTGCAGTTTCAAAAACGAAACTCTCTGGAGGTCTTTCCCAGCAACTCAGAGAATATAAACAGAGCTGGCATCTCCACATCTCTCCCACCTGAAGGGGAGTGGAATAACAACTCTTGAACAGACTTGATTCCTGCAAATAACCCTGCATTGAACTAAAAGTTTGAGAGACCTTTCCATTCAGTGACCTTCCAGCCTCACGATACCTTTGTTTCTCAGAACAAAAGTTAGACCAATTTTATTCACTTGCCAGGAGAGCTGTCCCACCAAGCCTTGGCAGCTGTGCAAGTCTGCTCTGTTGGTGTTGTGGTGAAGTTTAGAGGCCCCATCTGAACGGCACATCCACTTATTCCAGACTCAGTATAAACAGTGAGAGGTTAGCTCCTTCCTAAAGTACAGGCATGCAAAGATTCCCCAGAGAGCCTTGCAGAGAAGAGGAAATCTGAATTTTCATGCAAAGAAAGGGTAACTTCCATCTTTTTTTTTGAGTGCGAGGGGAGGTGATCCAAGTAATCCAAATACTAGAACCCAAAAATACAAAGTGAAGAAGCAGAAGCTCATTTCTCTCCCTCTGAGATGAAAAACTGTTTAAGAAGGGAAGGAGAAAATCCCAATTGTAAAATTATACCATTCAAATAGCATGTTTCCTCTTGAACCTGAGCTCAAAGGCAAATAATGCTTGGTGTAAAAAAAAATATTATTAGGGAAAGAAGATGCTGATTCAAGTAAGCCCATGGAGCAGAGCAATTCTGCCTGCTCCTCTCCTTCAGGTCACTCAGCCTAGTGTTTCACTGAAAGGAATGGCTGCCCATAAAACAGAAGTTGCTGCTGTGATACATAAAAGCAGCAATGAAATCTCTCCTCTACATGCTCAAAGGAAGAGGGTGATCTTAAACACATATTCCACCTATCATATACTCTGGAAATGCCAATCCCATTTCCTCCACAAAGCTCTCCTCAAAAACCCACTCAGATGGCTCCTGTTCCAGCACATTTCCTGTGTTAGTTTCAGGAAGGACTGGGGCAAATGTGCTAATCCAGCCTGTGCCTGTGTGACCAGCTCCTGATCAACCTGACCGAAGCTGCCTGCTTAGAGGTGGACAGTGGCCCTAGAAATCAAATTTCTCCTAGAAAATAGATTAAATAAAAAATAGACATCAAAAGATTAGTTGGTCATCCCATTGCAACTATTCTGTGTAAACACTGAATGGAAGTAACACCGAGTAGAAAGAGGTGAACACAAAAACTGAAGCTTTTGCCCTTAGCTTCACACAGTGCCTGTAATTCCCCTCAGCCCAACCAAACCAAGAGAACACACAAACCCTTATTTAATAGAAAAGGCTCAGCTTCTAAAAAAATTCCAATGGTGATTTTCTACTGTTAACACTCTAAGCCTGGAAAATTATCAAATGCCTGTTGCAACCAAGGAGTATGCAAAAGAAAGTCTTCTGCAGAAGCAAAGAATCTCAAGCCATGAGGAAGGTCTCATGTTTTCCCTGCTTATTGAAGTAGTTAGTGGTATATTTCCTTTCTCAAAAGAACATTCATGGATTATAGCAAACAACAGATCCGTTTGGCAAAAGTGTGAAACACCTACACATTTTCAAGTGACCTAGAGAATACATATGCATCATTTTTAGTGGGATTGTCTTACAAACAGCTACAGGGAGAACACATCAACTGTAGGAAGAATGCATGAAGTACATATCATAAGGCACAATGGGAGCATGCAGAGGGCATGTTTATTGTAACTTCTGCCTGAGGAGGTTGAAGGATGATGAGACCTCAGCAGCTTCCAGGATCACTCAATGTTCTTGTACTTTGTGAAAAGGTTGTACAGAACCCTGAGGGTAGACTTCAAGTCCAAGTTGACAACATCTGTGGAAGAAAAGGATAAATCCTGAATTTGCATTTTGTTTTCCCTCATTTGTCCTGACAGGAACAGAAGTCCCCACATCTCTGAGCTGATGGAATTGTGAATAAAAAAAAATCCACAGAGTTTTGATCTCCTCAAGTCTTTTAAATGTCCTGCATGATGTTCTTCAAAGCAGCTTTACAATCATACAGCACAGCCAACTTCTCCCTGGGAAACAGAAGGTAATTCCCTTCCTCAGCTAAAATTTGCTACAGAGAAAGTCTACTTCTGTCAGAGACCTGGGATAAAGGCTTTGGGAAATACTCCTAATGACTTTCCTGGCCACAGAAGCAGTGAACAAGCAGTCACACACATCCTTAGGTACTGAACCACATCCACAGCTCTCAATGATATGGTCCATGAATTAACAAAGCCTGAATCCTTAGCAGACTCAAGCTTTTTATTATTTAATAACGCTTCTTATCACGCTAGGCCAGAGAAAAGGTCTGGAACAGCTCTCAAGAGAAAGCTTTCCTGTTAGCACTTCTCCACCTATACAGAAATAAAATGCCAAGAATGCAGGGATTCTGGGGGGAGGCACAGCATAAGAAGGCTGAAGAGGTAGAAGGAAAGTTTGGATACAACATGTAAGATAGTAGTAAGAAGAAGCAAAAAATATACAGTGAACAATATATTACAGAAGGAGAAGTGAGGAAGAACAGATAATTAAAAAATCATCAAAAGTCCTAGAAAGACAGCAAACTGCTAACAGACCAAGCACAA